TAGGCCTCATTTGTGAAACAGTGTACAATTTTGGTTGGCACAATACAAAAAATAATGGAATATCCTGCACAAACGGGCTTCATGGACTGACCCTGTTAACCTTAATTAGGATCTTGTTTTCAAAATCCTCAAAGACATCATTGCCAATATGCTAGTTTCTTTCAAGAAATGACTGCATATGATCCCTGGATCAATTAGCTACTAAATAAAAGCAGGGATGAATGCCCTTATTTGTAAACTGCCATTTGTCCTTAAGGTGTTATAATGAGTTCGTTTTTATATTGCTAAAGGCTAGTTTGTAAAATACAGTATAATCCCTTGAAAACTGAAAACAAATTCTTGTTTTATTAATGTGTGTGTGTGTGTGTTTGTGCTGTGTATATATATAGCATTTGTGTTATCTAACTCAGTACCGGCCCTGCTTTTGTAAGCAGGGATGTTCAAACTGTGCAATAGCATGACGTAATGGTAGTTTATATTACCAGATTCTTTTCTCCGATGCACGGAATAGCTGTTATAAAGTTACTGTCCCACATGAATATCTAACATACAATATGGAATAACAAAGAGGAAGCTTTGTATTGTGCTTTTGGTTAACAATTCAGTCCATACTGCACCTGTTTCTTTTACATACCATGTACTAGCTTATTAATTGTGTAAACATGTGGAGGAACTACTGTATGTGCTTTGTGGATTTTATTTTGTCCTTGTGCGTGTGTATCAGAGAATAGTGCAGGCACAAGACAGGATACGCCCTGGAGCGTGTTTTGTGTTACTAGGATTATTACAGATAAGGGACTTTTACTTGAAGAGGAAGATGGGGATCACAAAGTGTGGGATTTGTTGTTCTCTAAAGGTTGCCCGTTATTGTGTTTTAACTAAAAAAGCACAAGGATAGCTGCAGTCCTCTGTTCAAATCATGTTTGTTGTACCCTGTCTCCTAAATGGTAAGGACCACTTGAATGCTCTTATGCAGAAAAGGTGAAAATGGCTTATTTTGCTCACCTTTCATTTATACATTTAATATATGTATATTTTTTCCTTTACATAACTGGCATGAAGGCTGACCATTTACACACTTCCCCTTTCTCTGAAAATAGCCAAAGTACATTTTCACCACCTGTTTACGGGAAAGGTATGATGTATGTTAATTATCGCTGTTCTTTCTCTTGAGAGGACACTGTACCATCTCTGTGTTTAATGAGACTGTGACTGTGGTGAAAGTCACTTGCTGTTATATACTTGTGTACAATACTTCAGCCACGGTGACTTCAGTGCACTAGACCTTAAGTGCGGACTTCAAAACGCCTCAGTACACCATTAATGAGATTTCCTTTTGTATGCACCGTCCATTTAAGCCAATAGTTTCAAATCGGGTGGAGATGTACAGTCAGAATCACTCATTAGCTGCAGGGCTAATTAATGTTTAATCAGGGATAATGAACAGGAAGGAGCTAGCATTATCAGTCCATGTCATACCTAGAAAAACCTAATAAATACTACAAAAAAACTAAAAATATCCTACTGTACATGTAGTACCCAATCTAGGTCAGACTAACTCTGTAAAGTGTCCGTTCTCATTAGTACAGTTAAGTCTCTTTTTGTCTTTACTTACTGATTTACTGTTCTGATTTATGCTGATATAAACTCCTCTTAAACACTGAAAACTTCCAGAGCTGCTGCTGCTGCATCTTCAACATAGGCAGCTTTTCCAAAGGTCACATTCCGATGAAACATTTATTGATGGATGAAGCCCTGATAATTGGGATCATTCATTCTAGCACGGGCGAAAGTGAATTTAAATCTGCAAACTTTGACCCGAGGTGAGAGTAATTTTTATGTTTTCAGCAAGTGGAAGAATGGATCTAGCAACGCTTATGGAATTACATTTCACCTCTGATTTAACTTATTATTTCAGTGTATTCATATAGGTTTGCATTTGGAATTTTGGACTTGTAAAACTACAAACGCTTGGAATAGCTTGCCTTTACTTTAAAGGTTTGTGACTGCCTTCATGATTATGACTGATTATGAGCGCCTGATGCAATTACTGTATGTCATTTCAGTAAATAAGCTTATTAACCCAGTTAGATATGTAGTCTTGGAGACAGCATGGAGCAACAAAGATGATATTCAAAGCTGTTCCAGCTTTAAGCAACAGATCTTGATTTACACTTTCCTTCTGGCACACTCATTTAGTTGTCTGTGTTCACCGTCTTGTACTGTGGGGACTATAGCAATGTAGAAAACTTCTAAAACTGCACTTGGATAATGTGAATTCTTTCACCATTCTTCTATTAGATTTGCATTTTGAGCCCAGCACTCATCATTTTGACCTTTATTCTTGATGTGGTCGCTTCTCTCTCCATCCAAGACAAATCATGTGTTTAAACTAATCTACAAACTTGGAAAGCACATTTCTTGACTAATACGATGAGGTTGCTTTTCCAAGCCTTTAAAGCAAGTCCTAAACTTATCTTCCACGGTGGCAAATTGAAATGCCTGTCACCCAGTCCGCAGAGTGAGCTGAAACCACCCAACATCATATTTGAGTGGGGTTTCAGTTGTATGACTAACTCTTTCCTGCTTCACACATGTGCACTTGCATCTGTTAGCCCTGTTCCATCGTGTTGTTATTTCTACTGATTTGTCCTTTTCTTTCTCCGTTATACCTTCTGTGTTATACTGGTCTGAGCTTCCTGGCCACGTCCCCAGTGTAAATGAGAATCTGTTCTCACCTGACTCAGTTAATTCATTTTAAAGAATTGTTGTTTGAAGGAGCAACTGTTGAAGGTGTCACATTTTTGAACAGCTGAACATCTGAGACATTCTGATTATAAAGTAGCCACAGTACGCAGTAATTTTGTTTTTGACCTTGTCACGGTTTGGTATCAAACATTAGTTACATATCGGAGCCACAGGGAAGATAC